CTTGTTTCTGAGGAGTTGTGATGGGCTGCTTTGCATGGTCTCCGCGATTACACTGTGGCAAGCAGAAAGTCCGTGCAGCATGTGACAGCACGAGATATTTGGGGCGAGTCGAGTAAGCGAGGGAAAGCCCGAGCTGGACTCGTGGTCAGTTGATTACCAGAAGTCGTAGAAGACAGTTGTGTTAATAAAAGATGTAGTTCTTATGTCGCGCGAATGACCAGTATTTGAATATGTCGCAAGCGATACAAGTGTAAATAATTGTTGGAGCATGTTAAATAAATGTACCAGAATAAACTGATAGCATGTACAAAGAAGCCGAGTGGTGTTCGTGTTATCAACCCTAGACGTTAGTGCAGTGAGATTAATCATCCAGAGAAAGCCATGGAGAGAGCAGATTTGTAGTAAGCCAAGGTACATGTCAAGTTGCGTGGAAAGCCACGGCTCATTCCAAGTCAAGCCACGACTCATTTCAGGAGTATTCACTTGTTTCTATTAATTGAGGCTTGGAGTGTCTTGCCATTTGCTCTAAGATAGTCCTTACTTCTATGGGTTTTTTTTTTGGAACCCATAGACTGAGGCAGTGGTTCTGTTGGAACTCAAATCATTTTTCAGTGTCTTTTTTGTTGTTGAAATATTTAACCTGGGGATTATAATTTTTTTTTTTAAGTAAAAATTATTTTGGGTTTTATTCAAACTCTTGCAGCAACTAGAGAATGGTAAGCATCACAGTCATTACTGTGGTAGCTGCAAGTCGATGACACATAGTTCAAGAGCTGCCTGCTAGTAAAAATATGGTTCAGCTGGTGCCAGTGGCCAGATCTCAGATGTTTCAATGACACCTTATCACAGTCTTTTATTTTGAAAAAAATGAGTGGGTTATCCACCGGTCACTTCTAGTGCAGAATTACAATAGTTTCTGGCTATTTTTTTTTTTTTTTTCATGTGACTAACATTATATTTTCTAAGACAAACTGGTCATAAGCTTGAGTCTAACCCCACGCGAGCATTAAAATCATCAAGAATCTAGATGCCATGATTTATACAGGAATCGCTTTCACTGCATTCTCTAGTTCCATATAAAATGTATCTTTTGAGTTCATTATTGCTATTAGAGTGGGTGCATATGCGGTAACAAGGTTGATAAAATCGCTTGATGTAGACAATCGTAGCGATAATTATCTGTAATTTCCTTCAGTTGGATTCTCAATTGATCCCAACAGTGATTTTTTTACTGCAAATACCACTGCATACATTCGGATTTCTTCTTGGCCTCTGCCTTTCAAGGAGGATATATAACTATTTTATCAAATTGACCCATTCTCTGGCAGACGTGTTTCCTGTATGCCAGTAATATCTGTGCCAGGTTTACTGAGTTCGGCATCCATTTTAGCCGTTTTTCTCACGTCAATAATGTTTTCCAGTCAGAGGAAAACTCAGGAAACATGGTCCTCACGTTCCAAGAACAGAGTCGAAGTTTGAAGTAATATTTCTTTTCATTGACTTGTGCACTGGGTTTTGCAGCCTGCGATTCGGATTTTGACCTAGCTTCAAACACCCATTGAAGCATACAGGCTGTGGCAGATTAACACCGTATCGACTGGGCGCTGCCCAGCTTACGGCGGGCGGTAGCTGATCAGTGACATTCGAGGATGTCTCCCACTGTCAGAGGCAAACCGAGGCTCCCTTGTCTACCCCAGTTTACAAGGACTTATAACCCGTAACTGCTGCCTTATAACCCTTACTGCTGCCTCATAACCCGTAACTGCTGCCTTATAACCTTTACTGCTGCCTCATAACCTGTTACTGCTGCCATATAACCCATTACTGCTACCTTATAACCCGTTACTGCTACCTTACAACCCGTAACTGCTGCCTTATAACCCGTTACTGCTACCTTATAACCCGTAACTGCTACCTTATAACCCGTAACTGCTGCCTTATAACCCGTAACTGCTGCCTCATAACCCGTTACTGCTGCCTCATAACCCGTTACTGCTACCTGATAACCTGTAACTGCTACCTTATAACCCATAACTGCTACCTTATAACCCGTAACTGTTACATTTCGATTTGTATTCGAAACCAAATAAGGCCAGAAATGAAGTTCGTCCTCTCCATAGCACAACGCATAGGCAGGTTTGAAGAGGCCATATATTGCCCATGCATCTTGTTCTCCCTTCGCCTGCCTTATTAACTCGAAAAGAAAGGTAACACCAGTAATTTTGGAATAAAACAGGCTGCAGAAGCTGTCGGATTAGAAGAGCAGTGCTTTATCTGTCCACCTGTCAGAGCTTCCCTCCTAGACCAGCTGCCATCCAAGGCTAAAGACCTGGTCTGCCCTGCCATAACATACAAGTCTTAGGTTGCATTTTCTATTCCTAAGATACGGCTAGTATCCTTCCCATTGTGCTTCTCCGCCTGAAGTCGGCACAATATGGGATGTCAGGTTTGGTATACGCAACATTCGGCGTTACAGAAGACATGTGGTACGGACTACTGTTATACGGTAGCTCTATCATATCAGACCAAGACCTTACCCAGAAGTGATATTCTCTCTTTAGTTATTGCAAGTATTGCAACTTTTAATATATTTATTATTGTTGGCTAGCTTCTCTTCGAAGAGGCGGAGGTGAAATTTAAGTAGCCTGCAAATGAGCCATAGAGCACTAGGTCAACTCCTGCTCCTCATGGAGTACGTTGGAAAACTGAACTCTTGAGGTTTCAGGCTAACGGACAATGGCTCGTGTGGAAGGTGACGGCACCAACTAGATAAGATTTTCCTCCTGCTCCGCCATGCAACGGACCGGGCAAACAGGCAGTGGTGTGACTCCTACTACACAAGAAACATTGGATTATTATAGGAAGAACCATAAGTAAAGTTAAAGAAAAACGGAAATCTGGTTTATATTGTGGGATTGTAATGAATGAGGTCGAGAGCTTAGTACGCCATACGAGAGATACCTGAGGCCTTTAAGCGTTACACCTACCCTTCGGAGAATTATTAAGTTATTCCACATAAGATTGAAAGGTACAATCAACTTTCACGGTATAATTTCAGATGAGTTTTTTTTCTACCCTTATCACAATTTACTTCTTAGTAAACATATGATTTTCGAGATAAGGATTGTGGTATATTCACCCATTCTCCTTTACAATGCTCGTATGCTGCAAGCTAAAACCAGGGTGAGAAAAGCACTTATGATAAAACTGCTGTTTGCAGATGATGCAGCAATTACTGCCCACTCAGAGCAGGAGATGCAATGTTTACTATCTGCACTTGCTGATGCATGCTGCAAATCTATACTAAAATCAGCATGACAAAGACCAATGTGATGTTGTAGTATGTTCATGACTGACCTGCAGTTTACATTGAAGTTGAAGAGCTAGGGACAGTTTAATATTTTATCTATCTTGGATCCACAAAGAATAACAAAATAACGAGAAGAAGAGAAGAAAAAGAAGAACAAAATATCACTAGGCCAGGATATCAACACTAGCACTGGAAAATCAGAAATAAGGATAAGCAGGTTTCAGAAAAAGCGTTTGAGAGAACAGAAAGCATACATTTAAAACAGTCCCGTGTGAATGCTGGAAAATGAGGGATGGTAGACTTCCAAAAGACATTATGGCCATCTTTCGAATAATAGTCCCAAATTATCGAGGCAGAAAATATACCCTATCAGGGCCTCAGTCACGTGTCAATTGCGCACTTCCGGCGACCTAATTTGCGGTTCTCCGGCTACCGCCATTAGTCCACCACGCCGCTCACGCGGCGTGGATTGGGGTTAAACTAGTATTATATGTGTGTGAATGTATTTGGATGTGCGTGTCTGTTGGTGTGTGTATACATGTATTCATTATTGATTTTATAAATATGTGTATGTATTGTTTAACTTGTGTATAAGTGTGCTCTAAGTATATTGATTTGTGCAAGTGTATGTATTTAGTCACCTATCTACATGAAAACCTGCAGAGGTTTCATTATTCTCCAATTTATTAGTGATATATCACTTGAAGCAGCAACCACTTAGGAAACAAGAACATAAAGACATAAATGTAACAATTCTTGTTTGGTTTTTTATCGGTACCAT